ATCTAAAAAATATTTTCCCATCAGTTTTTACCCCCAATGTAATTAGTATTCGATAAAAGTATTTCCCCAAGTATTCGATAAAAACTTACATTTATAACTTTAGCCATAATTCATATGTACACATATGTCCATGTGAAATAATGTACCTTTCAGATATTGAAAGAATTTTTCAAATAAGTGTAGTGATTCCGAAGATCACTCTCCAGCTATCCACACATACACAAACACAAAATTCGCACTCTCTTTATAAAATTAGTATGGATGTGTGGCGATAAGTAAAGAGAATCTAATCTATCTCAAATCGATCAGGATTACACAAGACACAAGTGTTATCCAGTTGAGGATTTCTTCGAAGATAATGTGGAACTTTCTTCACCAGATGTTTTGAAAGTAGAAACTGCAGAAGGAGTGCACCCATGTTGTCCATAATCGCATGTTTAAAGTAAAACTAATTCTAAACCTGTGTATCAAATCCAAGTTGCCAAGCGCGTTCAACCAAAAGCTGCAGCCGGGGTATTGAAGGCACGCACTCACAGTCGCGGTCCACCGCGCCACCGAGCAGCCGAGCGTACTGCGGATGCTTTATTAGCGATGATAGCAGCATTTGCATGTTCCTGGAGACAGATTAGTAGTTGGGATTAATTTCAGATGCTAAATTTTACATACACTGCGACCACAGACCAACAAAGATAGACAGGACATTTATGTACACCTTCCCTATTTGCAATTCGCTGTAAGCAAAAGTTCTTTGCTACACAAGGGTTGTCTGGAAGTAATCGCTTCCAGAGCGATAAGACCGCCTGTTGTACTTTCTATACGTATATTTCATTTTATCAAGTTCTTATGTGTGTTAATGTGCAATAAAGAATATATTGATTGATTACTATGTATGTCCGAAGTGACACTGATACCATGCTCAACTAATTGTAGGACGACGAATTGTAGGACACAGAGTCCACCTGAGAGTAAGTGGATACTGTAGCCCATATCAAAATGCAGATACGTTGTCACCCCTGAGGACTAAGATGGAATGCCTCAATTCCAGTAAAAAGGGTCTCCGGTTCTCTACACTCAGCATTAAGCTGCAATTTTTACGCCGGTATTCTGTTAGACCGTGGTCCTTTCCAGGTCGAGCCGACCCATTCGTGCTACAACCATAATATGCAGCATGCCTCTACCACACATATGGTAAGTTGAGCATGGTTTCGGCTTCGCTTGGAATGTATATAGCATTCTGTCTCAGTTTCTTTGATGATCTGAGACTGCGACAGGAGCCAAAAATATATTAACATCATCATAATAGCTGGCAGCCCATTACCGTGCGTTTCACCAAAAAATTGCTGACACGCACGATCACATTGTGGAATTTACTATCGCCAATGGTTTTATCGATACGACTTTAGAATTAAAAAAAACTCCTTTCTAAAAGACCGGCATTTTCTCTAGATTTTCAGATGTTTAGAAGCGACGGAGATCGTTAACCATCAGGAGGAAAGAAGTGGAAAACTTACCTATAACCACAACCCCAACCCCTGTCCCCATATGTGCTGGCATAATGATCCACTGCACTACAGAGGTAAGTCTTCACAATACTTGGATTCTGAGCATTTAATTGAGCAATCCTTTCAAGGATTCCTGAAAAAAAAATCATAAATTAAGAAAAAAATTACATCTATAAGGTATGTGAGGATAATATGGTCTCCTTAAGCTTTGCCGCCCTATAAAACCAAAAGTAAGAAGAGGATAGAGACAAAACACAAAGTCGTATACTTTCACTAATTTATTAGGAAAAAAATAGGAAATAAGCTTTGGCAATAATTAGGAACACTACTGAAAAAACAACATAAAGAACTAAGTAGTACACTACACCATATTAATATCGACTAAAGTATTTACTATAATGTCAATTGCCAAAATAGCGCCGATAAATCAGCGCCCTTTTGACCCTTTATTATTTGATTGACTGATGAAGAGCTATCGTATCACAGAACCATCTATGCAAACAAGACTGTAGTTTTTTAGTTATAAGAAAGTGACTATATTAACGGAATGACCATAATACCGTCACATACTATAGTTGGACTATTTAGGTAAACCAGTATGAACTTCAAGAAATACTACATATATGATTGAGTATAAGGTAAGCAACCATACCCATGTCATACATCACTCACACCACTCCTGACCCACCGGGCTTACTCCTAATCTCGACTATGTCATTAACGAGAGCCTTGTGGATAATACACCGAAACTTCTTTGGGTCAGATTGTCACGCGAAGGGTGATAGGGAAAGTTGCCGGATTCGGTGATTACCGTGGCCTAACCCTCTCTTTGGGCCTGCAACAATCCCAGTGCAACTTGTCTACTTTGTTCCAACTTCAGGATCTTTTCGTCTGATGCAGTTCAAGACATTGAAAATAGCAACTGAACTTCCACAAGAGATTTTTAGCACCCCAAGCTCCACTGTAAATATGGGCGTCATTGCAGCAGAGTTTAGTGACGCCACCGGGGATTTTAGACCATCTCTTTTTAACATTCTTCATGGGGGTATATTTGTTGGATATGGATTGGTAACTGCAGATTTTTATTGTTCAGTTGTTAACAGGAAAATGCTACTACCCATATTCGAAACCCATGGTCTGGTATGGGGTAGTGGATATCTTTTCTTCTTACGCCGCGCCGTTACTACACAATTGAGTTTACACAGTGTCAAAGGCCAAATTTTATCTTAATAATAACCCTTGCTAAAAATAATACGGCGCTTATTGAAGTTCATTATGAAAAACATGTCATTTAACTGATAACATTGCATAGCTGTAGGGTTCTTTTCTTTGTTTCACAAAATCAATCAAAATTATTTTATCTTTGTGTCACGCTGAGCAGCGAGTTGAATTATTTTAATTTTTCATTATCTCCCTAACTATGCGTCCAAACAACATGCTATAAAGAACAAGGTTTATCTTCATAAAATTGTCTTGTCTATGAAGTAACTTTCGTTCGTGAGGATTAATATGCCATGCCTGATAATAAGGCTCATAAATAACTTTTTAATTGTCAATAATTTTTGTCACAGAATACCTTATTATGGCTTATGTATAAGAAATAGGCATATATAGGAGTAAAGATCAATATTTCTGTAGAATTTTGTATTTACTCATCACTAACTATTATGCTAGCGCACGAGCATAAAGTAGTTCGGGAGTGCTTTTTCTTCCGACATGCTTAACAAAAATTAATATTAAAGGTCAGCTGAGAGGTGTAGTCTAATGTATAAATATACAAGAATAATTTTTCAAATCATACTGATACTTCCGGAGAGTGTGTTTAAACAAACAACCAAACAAAAATCTGTTCCGTTTTATTATATCATAATAATATAAGAATAGATTAGAGATGAAACGAATAACCGGTAACTATCCGGTATTCGGTCTATCCGGCCTGAAATTAATATCGGGCTGGATACCAGATAACAAACAGCTATCCGGCCGGATACCGGGTTAAAAAAAACACAAAATACTTATCAAATTTAGTTAAGTACTTCATTTATGTCACTTAACAAATATAATCAGTAATCGCAAAATTTTCATTTTAAAACTTACAAAATTAGTACTCGTACTGCGCTAAGGCACAGAATGGGTGCGTTTGGCAGAAAAAAGCGCTAGCAAGCGCTTACAAGCGCTGAAATAGTTTTCGGCCAGGACATGATTGCTACTTCAGTAGCGCTGACACATATAAATACATACATATACATAAACACTCACGCCTGTCACCCAGAGGGGTAGGCAGAGACTACAGACTTCCATTTGGCACGATCCTGACACGCCTCTCTTGCCTCCTTCACATCCACACACCTACGCATACATGCTCGTCGGTTAAGGGTACTCCTAATTTGGCCCGTTTTCAATAAATCGCCAATTTGGTCGATAAATTTTCGCCTAGGACGTCCCTTTCCGACTCTGCCATTCACTTCTGCACCATAAATTTTCTTTGTCACTCTTTCCTCATTCATTCTTTCCACATGACCAAACCACCGATGCATTCCTTTCTTAATCCTGGTCACAACATCATCTTGCAAACCACACTCTTCTCTTATTACACAATTTCTTACCCTGTCATTCAGGTTCAGCCCTAACATACTCCTTAACGACCGCATTTCTACTGCGTTTATTCTACTCTCGTACTTCTTCTGCCGCACCCAACTTTCACTACCATACGTTAAAGTAGGGACCAACACAGCATTGTGAATTGCCATACGTGCCTTTTTCGACACATTTTGACTCTTCACAATAGAGTGCAAGGCCCCATTTACTCTATTTCCCGCATTCACTCGTCGTTCTATATCCTTATCATATCTCCCATCTCTGCTAAATACGCAGCCCAAATACCATCTACTTGCTCGATCAACTCCCCTTCTATTCTTATTTACAATCGTTTTACTTTTTTCTCTTTCAAAAACCATAACCTTCGTCTTACTTGCGTTTACTTTCATACCCCTTTCTTTTAATGATCCGTTCATTAATGTAACCATCATTTGCAACTCGGCCGCTGACGACGCAAGAATAACTTGATTATCGGCCTACAAAAGGCATTAATTAGTTAATTAATTAGTTAACTCACCCATTCTTAATCCGCATTCTTCGACTTTCAAATTTTGCAAACAACTGTCCATAAATTAAACAGCGACGGGGAAGCCACACAGCCCTGTCTGACACCTTTATGTATTTCAAATCAGTCCGAGTAGACCCCGTTGATCCTAACACAACAGAGTCCCTATAAAGAGACTCCAATGCCTGTATCAAGCCAGCGCTCAACCCAAATGAGTTCAGTGTTTGCCATAGCAAATCCCTATCCACTCCGTCATAGGCCTTTTCCAAGTCCATGAACGCACAAAAAACCTTTTGGTTTTTGGCCAGAAACTTCTCCGCGATTATGCGCATAGAAAAGACTTGATCTGTACATCCCATTCCCTTTCTAAATCCCGCTTGCACATTCCAAATTTATCCATCAGTTTCTTTCATGACCCTTTCAATCAGTACCTTAGCATACAGTTTTCCCACAATGCTAAGAAGGCTGATGCCACGGTAGTTTTTACAGTTCCGCTGCGACCCTCTTCCTTTATATACTGGGACTATCACGGCTTTGCACCAGTCTACCGGTACCCGCTTCAGTTCCCAGCATAAATTAAACAAGGTGTGCAGCAGGCCTGCCACCACTTCCACTCCAGCCCTTAGCATTTCGAGTGAAACTCTATCATATCCGGCAGCCTTACCTGCTTTCATGCTTTTCATTGCTTTCATTATTTCATCTATACTTATCTCGCTACCTCTTTCCTCTTCTTTCGGAGTTTCTACTTCACTTAGTACACACATTGCTCCTCACTCATAAACACGCTTTCAAAATATTCCTTCCATCTCTTTAAACTCAAAACTTCATCATTCAGAATATAGCCATTCTCGTCTCTTATAGCATTCATCATAGGCTGTTTTGAATGTCCCCTGGCAGTTGTTACAAGTTTCCAGAACATTTTAATATTTGCCTGGAAGTTATCCGATATTCTTCTATCATTCTTATCCGTTCTTTCTTGCGCTGACACAATCCGCCATTTTGCTTATTTAATTTGTTTGTTTTCAAGTTGAATTTATAAGTTGTTTTGTGCAATATTAGTTTTAAGTAATATAATGACGTGAATAAACATATACCTACATGTTATTAAAAATTCATGATTGGTAAGTTTTTAATATGAATACTTTACAAACATATATTTAAATTAGGTTAGGTTCCCCGGTTAAAACTAACATCGTGTCCTGGAGGAAAATAGCTACTTACGATTTGATAGCGCTTGCGGCGATCGTAAGCTTACCGCTTACGATCGCCATTTTGCTTACAAGCGCTTGCTAGCGCTTTTTTCTGCCAAACGCACCCAATAAATAATAGTACTACATAGCTAAGGGCAAATGATGGTAAATAAATACTAATTTCTCTGCTTTAAAGGTAACAAACGGTTTCGTCTGTCTTCATAAACAAGACCAGCTTCATAAAGAAATCTTTCGCTGTACACACTGCTGCAGGATACATTTGGGTATTGTATAGCAATACTCGCCCACCAAATATAAGAGTCACGATCGCAAACAGTTTGCACTGACTTTAATTTTCGCTTCTTGAGAAGCCCTAAACGGCAATGTTCGGCAGAATATCCGGCTGCCGGATATCCGGCAATAAGGCTGGTCGAATATCCGGTATCCGGTATCTGGCCAAACAGCTATCCGTTTCATCTCTAGTATAGATTAGTATAAATAATAGCAAATTGTAGTGTTTGTGAAGCTAGGATATTATTATTATTTTTTTTCAAAGTATTTAACGTACCATTAGTCCTAGAGGAACCAGTATCCTTGCCAGTGGCAGTGGCCCGCCGAAGACCGACGCTACGTTCGTAGTACCCGGCCACAGATAGGGCGCCGCTGTACACAGCTCGCTTCAAGCTATTGGTGGCCCGGTTTGTGTAGCCCTCCTCATCCTCTTCCTCCATGCCATATTGAGCCTACAAGATCAAGTAGTAGTACAGTACTATTTTTTTTTTATTATAGAATATGGGTAGACAAACGAGCACACCCCCCCCTGATGGCAATTGGATGCCGTGGTCCAAGATATCGACATTTATCCTCGATTAAGAATCAAAATGCAGATGCGTTGTCATCCCTGAGGAACCCTAATGGAATGCTTCATTTCCAGTAAAAAGAGTCGCCGGTTCTCTACACTCCCCATACAGAACACAGCAGCATTAAGATGCTATTTTACGCTGGGGTTCTGTGAGAGTGTGGTCCTATCTCGGTCGAGCCGACCCATTCATACTGAAACCATAATATAGCTGCAGCGTGACTCTGCCACACATAAATCTAATGAATTCTAACTTCATAGCAAATTGATAAGCTTTCGATAAATTTTTTTTATAGGATATGGGTGACAAATGAGCACTCAGTCCACTTGATGGTAAGTGGATGCTGTGGCCCATAGACATCTACATTCGATTAAGAATCAAAATACAGATGCGTTGTCACCCCTGAGGACTACTAAGATGGAATGCCTCTATCCCAGTAAAATGGGTCTTCAGTTCTCTACACTCACCACATGAAACACAGTAGCATTAAGCTGCAATTTTACGCTGGTTTTCTGTGATAATCCAAAAATACACATACACATTTTAACTACGAATACACATATTAACTATACATATAATAACATGTAACAAAAACCCTGTGGTTCCCGTTAAGTGCGTTATAAGAATTTTTTTTTTCAAAATACTCATTTAAAAAAATTAATTTTAATTAAAAAAAATAATTTGCAAATTGTATGTGGTTTCATTATCTCTGCATTGCCACACATACAATTTGCCAATAATTTTTTTAAATTAAATAAAAAAAATTATGGTAGTTTTCTGAAAAAAAAAAACTATGCTTGAATACTGTATCTAATAACATAGTTAACGGGAACCACAGGGTTTTGTTACAATACTTGGTAAAATAAATTGGCTTTATGGTATATAACAAAATTTCATCATCATCATCATCATCATGATCATTACAGCCTAACATCCATTTCTAAACATAGGCCGCCTTCATAGATAGGCTTTATGGGACGGGGATATTTGCTGTAGTTGCCATTGTTGGCATGTGGGTTAGCAACTGCAGTTTTTTAACTTGCCCAGTGAGAGTTAGAAATTTTAACACATCTCAGTTTCAAGGTCTTTAGAGTCAAATAGTATGGCTTTTAAAAGGATGTTCATGTGTGCACATGTACTTTTTTATAGGATGAGTGACAAACGAGCACACACTCCACCTGATGGTAAGTGGTTGCTGTTGCCCATAAACATCTACATCTATCCTCGATTAAGAATCAAAATGCAGATGCGTTGTCACCCATGAGGACTAAGATGGAATGCATCGTTTCCAGTAAAAAGGTTCTCTACACTTACCATACGAAACACAGCAGCATTAAGCTATTATTTTACGCTGGTATTCTGTGAGATTGTGGTCCTTCCCCAGTCGAGCCGACCCATTTGTGCTACAACTATACTACATATCTAAACATATGTATGTATGTATGTTCAGATTCAATGTTCGCCCCGTGTATCTCGAGAACAAAGAGTGATATTGACATGGGACCAGTTTCATTTAACATATAACATACATATGTAACTTAGACTTCATTAAATTTTGAGTAAAATCAGTCAAGTAGTTTTTTGTGCCGAATGAAAAATTGTATAAAATATTAAAACAGATTAATTTTTTTATTCTTTCCAATGGGAAGTTAGTTGTGTGGACCTTTCGGGTCGCACTTAGACCGCTTTTATTTTATTATTAAGTTGTTATTTGGATGATACTGCGGCCCATTTTCCATTGCAGTTTCCCTCTGTCGCCTTATATAACACCCACAAAATTACTTAGGGTAGTGGAATTTAAAAAAATCATAAAGTGAATTTGTTCAAGCCTTTCTTACCCTCAACAGCTGAAACTCATGTTCCTCTCTATTCCTCTGAGCTTCTCTTTCAGCAGCTGTTAAGGTATTTGCACCACCATCTTCCCCTTTCTCAAAATGTTCCTCAATGTGCTGAATCTGATAGAAAAATCAAGAATAAAATTAATAATTATTTGTATCAGGAACAAAAAATGAAACAATTAAGACAAATATTGTAGTATTTTTATAACATCTGTACACATAAAAATATTGTATTAATAATATTGTTCTCTGTGTGCTATTTTCAAATTTTCAGATACATAACTTTTTTGATTGTATATTTGATTTTTAATATTAATTTAATTTAATATGAATGAGTGTAAAAAGGTATAAACCAATTGACATGAAATTTGCACAAAATAACTAAAGGACAAGTTAAGAATTTGTTAGCCTAATATATCGAAAAACCTATATAAATAAATTTTAATATCATTGCAGAGAAAGTACTTTGATTTAACAAAACATGAATGTTATTATTAAATTATAGAAATATACAAATCACACAGATGCTCTGTTTTGAATTTTTTTAATTTTTTATAGGATAAGGGTGACAAACGAGCACACAGTGTACCTGATTGCAATTGAATTCTGTGGCCCATAGGCTACATTTAACCTCAATTAAGAATCAAAATGCAGATGCGTTGTCACCCTTGAGGACTAAGATGGAATGCCTCAATATCTTCTGTGCTATAAAAGAATTCTCATTTCTTCTTGTGGGTGTTGTAGGTATTGACTGTATGGAATGCTAGAAAAATCTTGTGTATGCCAAAAGAATACAAATATAGAGCAACCATCACCAGCGAGAGCAGAAGCATCAAAGAAGCGAGACATCTGGTACTACAATCCACCTGCCAAGTGTGACAATTAAGGCAAACCCTGCTACAAAAAGAAGAGATCCAGCAGTAGCAGCAAGCCGTCTAGCTTGCCAGCCAGCGTTGTCCAGCAGTAGGCTATTTCAGGCTGATGAAGAAGAATAAGAGAAAGAATTTGAGCATTTGCCATTACATAATGAGTTATATATATATATGTATATGTTACAGTCTTTTGTGACAAATTATATATATTGAGAAGTATACAAACCAATTCATGTTCCGACAGTGGTAATGGTTGGCAGCAAACTGGACAATTACTGACAGGGCTCTCTTCCATCATAACCACATCATCACATGATGCATTGTCTAATTGATCCTGCACAAATTACACAAACACTTCAAGATCCAATACAATAAAGTAACAAATGAGGCTCTGACAAATCAACAATTTAAGGTATAGGGATTCATAATGCTAAAGCTATACTACTACATACATGGTAGAGCCACTCTGCAGCTATATTATGGTAGTAGCATGAAAGGGTTGGCTCGACCAGGGAAGGACCATGCTCTCCCAGAATACCATTGTATTGTCACTCAGGGGTGAAAACGCATCTGCCACGGCCACAGTATTGACTACCATCAGGTGGAATGTGTACTTGTTTGTCACCCTAATTCTTTAAAAGAAAATAGTATTAGGGTGCAGCAGTTACCTGTCCACGGATACAAAATCTGCACTCATATACCTGCTGACCCAGTTCAGTAATTTATTTTTATAGAAGAATGGTGACAAAACGGGACACAATCAACTCGATGGTAACTGGATGCTGTAGCCCATAAACACTTACATCTATCCTCAATTAAGAATCAAAATTTAGATGTGTTGTCACCGCTTACAACTCAATGGAATAACTCATTACCAGTTCAATACACTCAACATACAAAATACAGCAGCAATAAGCTCCATTTTAAGCAGTAATGCTGTGAGAGAATGGTCCTTCCCCAGCCAAGATGACCCATTGTATGCTGCAATCATAACATAGCTGTGGTGTGACTTTACTATGTAAAGATATATTTAAATATTTATTATAATCTTAATAATATAAATATTTTATTTATGTTATATTGGAAGTTGTGCATACCAGATGTCAAATTGTTAAAAAAGCTTATATACAAAAGTAGAATATAAAAGATTGTTCAAGAAATAAAAGACAAAAGTTGTTGTCAAGTGCCAGCATAAAAGAATCCAGCAGTTCATTTGGTCTCCTGGGTGTTGTAAGTGGATATTATGGAAATGTCAGAAAAAAAGGTCTTCCAGTTGATGGCAGTATCTTGTTAACAGAAAATAATAATACGGCCGATGGGCAGCAGCATCAAGTGTGCAATATGTTACACACTGCAATTGTCAATTCTTCTGCCAAGCCATGCCAAGTGATGATTGAGGTAAATCGGCAATAAGGTGTTTTACCTTATTGCCGATTTGCCGGTTTTGAAAAAAGTGAATCTTTGATAGTAATTATGTAAATGAAACAAAAATTTGAAACTAATATATATAAATGGTTAATAAAAGTTTTACTTACTGATTTCTGTGGGCTTAATATATCCCTGTGCTCAACATTGACATGCACTTCCACTTCCGGACCACTGGTAAACTCTCTTTCACATATCGGACATTGAAATGAGGATGAATGAGGACCCGGAGACATGGCCATAGCACTTAAAGCTAAAGTTGGATTGTCTAAGGTCAGTGTGGCGTTGTTTAGTCCCAGGGTGATGTTTTCAGTAATATTAGCATTAGCGTTTGCATTTGAAAGAACAGAGGGAGACGTGAGGTCAAAATGAGCCCTATTAATGTGTTCCTCTAATTTTCTCGGACATGTTGAAGTGAAATCACATAACAGGCACTGAAATAATACAAAAAAATCTTGATAATGTTATTTGCACTTGGTTGTTTCAGACACTCGACTGTTTTTGCGTTGATAAAAAATAAAAATAAAAAAAAAGTTAAGTCTACATTTAGTTGAATTTGAATTTGAAGTTTGCAAACATATTTTTTTACTTTTTAAATTGTTTTAAAACAAAGGAATCTAAGCCCATACAGCCTTATCTGATTGATATTTTTTACAGAATGCTAATGATTTGGTTGGCAGCGACAGTTTAATCCAGAACCCAGATAGGTTACATCTCAAGACAGTCTCTAACCTCCATGGTAGCTTAAGACATTAAAAAGATTCAAATGATTACACACATAAATGATATTCATGTTTATGTTTTATATATAGCATAATATCGATCATGTAAATAAAAAATGTTAAAATTGTTTTAAAATCAGATTGTTTTAATAATAATTATCAGGTAATGTTCTTTTACTGACAAACTGCAAACCAACAGTTACTAACGATCGAATTCAGATTGCACGCGTAGGGGTATATAATTTACGTAAAGTGCATATAGCCACTGAACTTTCACGTCTCTAATAAAACATATTAACAGTAACATATCACACTTTTATTAATATAATACATATATTAAATAGCATATACGTTGCGTGGTTGCTAAGTTTAGGTACCATAGTACCTGGCTCAAATTCCAGCAGGAGTTAATACCTATTATAACAAAATCACAAAATGTTGGTTTTACATTATTGTCTCTTTGTATCTGTCATTTCGTCCTAACCTTCCTATAATCTCATCACATCAGGAACGGGTAAGTTAAGACGAGTAGAGGCACTCACTCATCTTAACTTATCCGTGTCCGATTTGAACGGCGACACTTAGTAACTTATGGAACTTTATATTTGTAGATTATTCGGAAGTTATCGTCTTTGTCGGTAATAGCTAGGGCAGGTACACAGTATTTTTATGACTTTTATATTCTAACCATACTGTTATAAAGAAATGTAGAATACCTGAACCGTTGGACTCGGTGTCGGTGGAGATTTTTTAGGAGTATTGGTTTTAAGTTTAAGCGCAAGTTGAGATCTAAGTGGTGAACCTTGCCCCGCACTTGCCATAGATAACTGAAAAAAGCAATTTATTGTGTGGATGAAGAACAAGACATTTTTAAAAGTTGTCAAACCTGAAGATATGATAGGTACCTTATTTTTATTCGGGGACCCTTCGTAATTATCAGTATTATGACTGGGGCTGCAATAACTGCCTGTAAACATATTTTATATGACAAGAAATGTAACACTTATATAAATGTTAAAATATAATAAAACTGAATAATATTAAAATATAAAATTAACAACTGACCCTTTCTTTCATGAACACTAATAATTTCACCGTCGCCAGAATTCTCTCTACTGTAATTTTTTTTCGGTATTACCCCATTACTTATATTAATGTTCTTCAGTCCATTACACAGATTAATATTTTTAGGTGAACGTGAGCACCTATTTTCGTCTCTTTCACTTTTATGGTAGTTATCCTTGTCCTGGTAACCGTTAAGATAGTTTATGTTTTTTGATATGGCGCCATTATGAAATGATGTTGATGACATATCAGGGCTATGCCATCCGTTAATGGATCCTGGTGTATTGTAACTACAACTATCTGTCGTAGTCATTTTTGAGTCTTCATCGTAACTGAAATAATGAAATAAAAAAATTAAGTATTAGAATTTTTTTCATTCCGATCGGCTTGACTCACTGGAACTGCGACGAGATGTTGCATCTCTTTGCGTATTTTTATCGCATCTACCACGGGGAGTGCTCTGAGGAATTGTTCGGACTAATTCCAGCCGCACAGTTTCACCATTGTACATCGCGACAAAACGTTTGATACCATCCATACCATTTGGATGAATGGCGGTCCACCACTAAGCGATTTAAAAGAAGTTTTCTTCCTCGCAAAACTTCCTTGTGGAATCGACTACCACCAGAGATTTTTCCGGGCAGATACGACTTAGCGACCTTCAAGAAAAGAACCTATTCCTTTTCAAAAGGCCAGCAACGCATCTGCAATCCCTGGTGTTGCAGCTGTTCATCGGCGGCGGTAATCACTTACCATCAGGTGAGCCGTATGCTCATTTGCCCCCTCTCCTATAAAAAAAAAGAATTGTAAGACACGAAGCTTTCATTGATATCTACCAAGTGCTCCGCGGTGAAGGAAAACATCGTGAGAATACTTGCATGCTTGGGGAATAAAAATATTTCGATGATATATGAAGTTCGTCAAAACGCACTGAAGCAGCATTGTTTACTTATTGCTGCTTAACCCCTCTTAGAAATGTCTGAAGGCCTGTGCCTAACAGTGGGACGTATATATGCTGTAACTTTATTTTAACTTATTTACTTATCATCGCTTAAAGTCTGACACGTAAATCGATTCATAATTTGTGGTAAATATATAATATTATATGTAATGTGTTTAAATGTGTGTACCGTGTAGTGGTGGTGTAAAAAATATCCACTACCCCATATCGTCCCGTGGGTGTCGTAAGAGGAAACAGGGAAACAACCCAGGAGATGGGCAGCAGCATCTTTCCAATGACAACTATAACATAAAAATCTACGTGGCTGCTACTACAAATATCTCCTCATGAGGCATTCTATAAGAGATCCCTAAGTTAGCTAACGTAACAGCCTACTGAAAGTCAGTGTACTTTCCACAGGCTGTAACGATAATATTTGTAACGAAAATAATTTACATTTATGCGACGTAGGTATTCGCACACAACGTCTCATCGCGACTCATCGGCGTTTCGACAGTGAGTTGACTAATGTATGTGCATTAACCTTTATATGATCCTAAATTCTCACGTGCCTAAAGAATATACTACTCTCTGATGTGAGCCCATGCCCTTAGCTCGAATTTTGACACTAATGTTTTTGTATCCCTACGTTCAGCAGTGGACTTTCAATATGCTGTAACTATAACGGTGTTTACATTATGTGACAGAGTTATTCACACACAACATCTCATCGCGACTCATTGGCGTTGTGATGGTGATTTAACTAATGTGTGTGCATTAACCTTTATATGATCCTAACAGTGATTCCCAAAGTGGTCTATATCGACCCCTAGGGGTCTATGAACACCTGCAAGGGGTCTACGTCAGTGAAAAAAATTTGGGGGTCCATGAAATGAAAATGGGGGTCCACGATAGTGGATCTCAACACATACACTGATAGTACCTATTTGCTTACATCATACTATCTTATAATATTAAAAAATATACATTATTTATAAAAGTACATATGAAGTAAAAAATTTATTATATATGTTTATAAAATTGTGTAAGTTGTAGGATGTTGGTATTCGCTTTGTGGTCGCAATACATTTTGAACTTGTAAAAACCTGAGAGTCGCAGTCTCAGAGCTTCGCTACCTTGCACTGACTTGTTCAATTCGTCACTCTATAAATACGAATGTGGGACAAATACGTTTATTCATTTCCTGAATCTTGAAAAGGAAAGTGTTAAGAAAATATTTTAAAAAATATAAACAGATAGTATATCACACAAATTATAGTGAGTCAGCGTTATTTTGTTTGAGAGTGCTGGAGAATAGCAAGTACATTATTTTTTATTAAATTTTAGTTTTGTACTCGTAGTTAGCAAAGATAGATAAATTACGCCAATCATGACTTTAAAAAAAAAAGAAAAAAAAATAAAAAAAAAAATTTTTAAAGCTGCTGGATTTTCTGTTTTATTTAAATAATTTAATTTTGCCCACAGATGACTGATGCCATGTCCGAATCTAAAAAGAAATGTACACAGTACAGTGTCGATTATTTGAAATTTGGCTTCATTCCATCATTGCCGGACAAATAATTGCCTATGTGCCTTTTATGCAACAAAGTTTTAGGCAATGACGCTATGAAACCATCTAAACTGCAAGATCATCTGAGAAGATGCCACCCTGATAAAACAGAGAAAGATTTGAAATATTTTCAAACACTCGAAGATAAACTTCAGAAGAGACCTACACTGGACAGAATGCTCGCCTCGACGTCACAAAGAAATGATGATGGTTTGCGGGCGTCTTACAATATCTCGTTACTTATAGCAAAATCCGGAAAACCGCATACTATCGGAGAGAAGTTAATTTTGCCAGCCGTTGAAGAGGTTTTAAAAACTGTTTTACACAAACCTGCATCTGATATCATTAAAAGAATTCCCTTAAGCAACAATAATGTTGAAAGACGTATTGATGAAATGAGTTCTGCTATTGAAAGCTTCTTATGTAATGATTTGCAAACGACCCATTTCTCTATACAACTGAACGAGTCAACTTTACCTGATAATGCAGCATTATTATTGGCATATGTTCGTTTTATTATGAATCAAGAAATCTATGAAGAACTGCTCTTCGCAAGAACTTTGATAACCGACACTAAAGGTGAATCAATATTTCATGTTTTGAAGGATTACTTCATTGAAAAAGCAATTCCTTTATCAAATATAATATCAGTAGTTACAGATGGAGCACCCGCCATGGTTGGACGTTATCGTGGATTTATAAGCTATTTAAAAAAAATGTGTCAGGGGTGTTAGCAATACATTGCGTCATCCATCGACAACATTTAGTTGCTAAAAATTTGAGTGTTAGATTGCATGAATCACTTCATTTAGTCATTGATGCAGTAAACCGAATCCGAAGCAACGCGTTGAATACGCGGTTATTTGCGCAGTTGTGTGAAGAAAATGACGAACACTTTCATCAATTACTCCTTCACACTGAAGTACGCTGGCTGTCGAAAGGCTTATGTTTGACAAGACTTTTTGCCCTTTTTGAGACTATTTTAGAATTTCTGGATACTAAAGATAAAATTTTAAAAGAAAATTTAATGAAGTGGAAAACAGACATCGCCTATTTAACAGATTTGTTTACAAAATTTAATATGGTTAATTTGCAATTACAAGGCGACAGTTTAAATTTGATTAAAACAAAGTCAAAAAAAAATTGGACGGGGCGAATTTTGTCACTTCCCCAATTTGTCACAGATAAGCTGCCAGGAAGACGACTTTCAACTTACGTTCAACATTTAAATGCCCTCTATTTAGATTTTGAATCTAGGTTTGAGGATATTTTGACTATGGTAATACCATCGTGGATAATTAATCCATATGGTGACATAGAAGGAACCAATGTCATAATACAAGAGGAACTGACTGAACTAAATACAAATGAAGAACTTAAGGTTCAGTTTAAAAACGGATATCAGCAATTCTGTCTGCAAAACAACATACCCGTTACTTATCCCGTATTATTGAATATAGCGAGGAAATTTTTAATTTCCTTTCCATCGTCATACCTAGTGGAAAGGGGGTTCAGCGCTGTTACCAATCTCCTAACGAAAAAAAAAACAGTCTGGACATCATTAGCCGAGGAGATTTAAGATTAACCCTTACAAAATTGACGCCAAATGTTGATAGTTTATTATTAAAGCATCAGGTTCATCTTTCTCACTAAAATATTGACTTATTTCTTATATTATTTTATTTATAGTTTATTTTATGTTATTTAATGCTACGTATATTTTACATAACAGATACAAAATTTTATTTTGAGTAGTTTTCATTTAAATTTAATTAATAAATGTATAAATTAACATGTGTTTTTACTTTAAGTTTTTAACACTAAACTTCACTACAGTTTACAGGAAATCAATATCAGCTAAGTAGGGGGTCTACCCAACACGGAAAAACATGGCAAGGTGTCTACGACACAAAAAAGTTTGGGGAACTCTGTCCTAAATTCACACGTGCCTTAGAAATATATATTCTCTGATGTGAACCCACGCCCTTAGCGATAGTTTTGACACTAGTGTTTTCTTATCGTAAATAAGTAAAATTTTATTGAAAACTAGCAATCCTCCCCGGCTTTGCACAGGTGATTTATAGATCTTAACAACAACATCTACTGGGCCCATTTATAAATCTAAACTATCCAAGGACCCATTCAAACACACACTAAAAAATCATCAAAATCGGCCCAGCCGTTCTCAAGTGATTTTTTTTTCATGCATGAGGCAATTGATTTTTATTTATATAGACACACTCATTTGATGGCGATACGAAGTCGATACGATAGAAAGCTCATGCTTAGAGGGTGCTGTACTGATTTTACTTTTTAATGCGAGTTAACAAATTGGAAAGTTTTTTTAAGCTTAATTAATGTCAGAATTGAATAAAACTACTTTTACGAATTTTATCGTGTTTAATTTACTTCATTTTAATACCGACGTATCCGGTGCTTTGCACCATGGTCACGGCACGGGGGACTGAGGTGATTGACGGCCTAATGTCAGTGTACCAGAGGTACGAGTTTAACGCGATAAAGTGCGTAAAATTAGTTTATTCAATGTGTAGTGTTCGCGTAAATATGAGAAATCCTAATATCAAATTTTTTTGGAAATCTTTAATTTTTTTGTACATTAGTGACTCAAATCACAAGTAAAACGTGAAGTTTAACTCACCCAGGACTTTGATCATCAATAAACGCCATCAGTTCCCTTTCCGGTGTCAAGTAATGAAGATGAGCTCTTTGTACATGGCCAACAAGCTGAGTTTGCGGAACGGTACAGTCGCAGAAAGGGCAATCTGGGCGGCCAGCCACGTGGGCTTCGAGGGTATGAGTGCGCATACCTTCGTCCGTTAAACCTTCCGCTCCACATAGTTCGCATGTATACGGAAATGGGCTAGTCGACATGGTGATAAATGAAACTAGAACAAAAATGGTACTTTTAATTGTGTTTAAATAAGCTTTGTGATACTAAAGTTGTAAAAAAAATCGGTAATAATATTTAACATTATTTACGTAATTAATCAATTAATGTTTCACAGATTATTAAATAAAATAAAAAAGAAATAACAGATACCGGTTAATTTAATTATGTAACCTTGTTTATTGTATTTCTTCGTGCAGTATGTATTAGATAATTTTACCCAGTACACGTCTATTACCTGATAAAAATTAATTCTCACGTAATGAATTAGCATAGAAACCATTAAACACAAATTGGGGTAAAGTGTCAAATCGATAAATTTACCGCAGTTCTGTTTTCAAGGAAAACGCGACGTATTCACATTATTCATAGAAAAAGAAGAGACGGATTCTAAAATTCCATCGCCTCAATTCGTCAAATATTTTCTAATTATTTAAATTGTAACATGCCATGATTTAAATGAAATTAGATCTAAATAATAACCAAAAAACGTATTAAAATTATGTACTCACATTCCTGTTTTTTATTGTCAAAATTCACATGAATCCCAAAGATCTTTGTTTATAACACTATCTAAAGGGTTTGTTACTTGTATTATATGTGACCAATAATAACATTTTCTAACGTTAAATTGGACATCAAACAGTTAAAGATCACAAGTTGTGAACGAATCGCCATTCATTAAATTTCGAGACATCGAAAAAGAAATAAAACTGCTACGCATGCGGAAAATTCACTTCTGGGTCATGCCCCCTATCGGGAAATGTAGGACACACGGAAGTTTAAAACTTGTGTAATAAAAATAACTATAAAGCCTGTTACCAGAGGTTCAAAATTCTGCAACCTATTATTTATGTTTTATTACCTAAAAAAGCTAAGAGCTAAGAAAAAGATAAGATTTAAGCGTATCATTGCATTATTTTTAAGCTAACAGTAGTTAAATACATACCAAATAGAGTAAAAATGCTATCAATGAAAAGAAAAACTGTTTTCCTTCACTACAACTTGTAGCATACGATTATTGCGCCATCTAGTTAGCGGAGTAAACATTTGTGGTTATATAACAAAGCGAATGTATTACGTCCTTCCAAACAGATAGAGGAAACTTGGCTAGATGGTGTATAGTCAGTTTATTAGTTATCACTGAACTCTATACATACAAATAGAGATCAGTATTAGTTATATTTTTTCATGCTTTATATTTAAAAGGATAAAATAACATAAAACGACAATCAGATCAGTCACTGTTTATTTCGAACTAGCGACTTGCCACGGCTTTGCCTGTATAAAATTTATTAATGTGGCATAATTTGGATTTTTAAACGTTTTTTGAAAAAAATTAAAGGTAATGAAAAGCTTTCGTTTTTTAAAATAATCTAAAAGTTATTCGGATAGAATGTAGCCCAGATCTCTCCTAGCATTGTTCTCTATCTCTTCATAAAATTTTACAGCCATTCTGAAGATTATTAGGGATGAACAGATAGGCAGACCGACAGACAGACAAAGTTTAATAAATTTTTTTTATAGAAGAGGGGGCAAACGAGCATGCGGCTCACCTGATGTTAAGTGACTACCGCCACCCATGATCAACCGCAACACCAGGGGAATTGCAGGTGCGTTGCCGGCCCTTTAGAAAGGAGTAAGCTCTTTTCTTGAAGGTCCCCAGGTCGTATCGGTCCGGAAAAATCGCCGGTGGTAAACTATTCCACAGAGAGGTTGTACGCGGAAGAAAACTCCTTTTGAAACGTACTGTGGTGGACCGCCAAGCATCCAGATGGTGTGGATGGTATCGGGACGTTGGCCGCGTAGTGCGTTCACGAAATTTGGCGGCTGGGATTAATCCGAACAATTCCTCAGAGCACTCTCCATGGTATATGCGATATAAAATCCAAAATCAAATCAAAATCCAAATGAATCCAAATCGCAAACATCAAAAGCCCTTACATAGCCCTAAAGTGACAGTTTGGGCGGCTATGTCAGCGCATGGCATTACAGGCCCTTACTTTTTTGAGGACGGCAGAGGCCGCGCGCTTACTGTTACTTCACAACGGTATGTAGCTATGATCCAGGACTTTTTTACACCAGAGTTGCAGAATTTTCCAGGCTTCAATATGCGGACCTGGTTTCAACAAGATGGAGCAACTGCCCATACCTCTAACGTCGATATGCCGGTCGTCCGTCAACTTTTCCCTAATAAAGTGATCTCTCGAAGAGGAGATATTCCTTGGCCACCACGTAGTCCAGATCTGACCCCAATGGACTTTTTCTTATGGGGTTATCTTAAGACTAAAGTGTACGAAACCAACCCGCGGACAATTGACGTCCTGAAAGAAAATATCCAAAGAGAAATGGCAAACATTACAGAGCTTACTTGCCGCGCAGTGATGGATAATTTTAAACGTCGCTTACAGGAGTGCCGCGATCGTAACGGATTACATTTAGATGATGTAATTTTCAAAAAATAATTCCCATTTTATAAGGATTATGACAAAATAAAAACGTTTTTCATAACGTCATTAGTTTTTTTTAAATTATTTTTTTACATTTCAAGGGACTTATGGGCCACCCGGTATTATGTAATAATCAAATCACATAATTTTTTTTATAGAATAATGGTGACAAACGAACACAGTCTCCTGATGGTAAGTCGATGCTGTGGCCCATAGACATCTACAGTTAACCCAGATTAAGAATCAAAATGCAGATGCGTTTGCACACCTGGCAAAGGAAAAATTTTACTATGCCCCTGAGGACTAAGATGGATTGCCTCGATTCCAGTAAAACGCGTATCCGGTTCTTAACAATCAACGTACGAAACACAAAAGTATTAAGTTGCTATTTTACGCTGGTATTCTGTGAGAGCGTGGTCCTTTGGTCCTTTCCCGGTCGAGTTGACCCATTCGTGCTACTACCATAATAAAGCTGCATCGTGCCTCTACTACGAATATATATATATATATATATATATATATATATATATATATATATATATATATATACCTTAAGCTTCGCCGCCCTATGAAACCAAAACTTGGAGTAGGAGAGACAAAAACACAAAGTCTCATACTATAACCAATATATTAAAAAAAATAGTAAACAAGCTCTGGCAATAATTAGGAACACTTTGAAAAATCAACCTAAAAAAACTAACGACACTACGCAATACTAAAAACGACTAAAATATTTACTAATGTGTCAACTGTTAAAATGGCGTCCATGAAGCAGCGCCCTTTTGAACCTTTAATATTTTTGATAGACTCAGACAGGACAGGACAGACTGATGAAGAGTTATCGTATCACAGAAGTATCTATGCAAAAAGGCAGTAGTTTTTGAGTTATAAGCAAGTGAGTTTGCGCGTTAACCGCTAAAAAGAACCCCTTTGTCGTATCTCCTCAGTTTCAAGGCACTCCCCTTGTTGCCTCAGCCAGTATCGGAATCCTCGGCGTTGACATATCGAGTGACGTGCAGTTTCGTGGTCACTTGGAAGAGAAGGCCAAATTAGCCTCTAAAAAGCTTGGAGTGCTCAGCAGAGCGGGACAGTATTTCATGCCGGCACGCCTCCTGCAACTTTACAAGGCGCAGGTTCGGCCGCACATGGAATACTGTTCCCATCTCTGGGCTGGGGATCCCCAGTACCAGCTCTTTTCACTTGACCGCATCCAGCGCAGAGCGGCTCGAATCGTCGACAACCGAGTGCTTTCCGATCGGCTCGATTCACTGGCACTGCGAAGAGATGTTGCATCTCTTTGCATTTTATTTCGAATATACCATGGAGAGTGCTGTGAGGAATTGTTCGGATTAATCCCAGCCGCCAAATTTCGTGAACGCACTACGCGGCAAACGTCCCGATACCATCCACACCATCTGGATGCTTGGCGGTCCACCGCAGTACGTTTCAAAAGGAGTTTTCTTCCGCGTACAACCTCTCTGTGGAATAGTTTACCACCGGCGATTTTTCCGGACCGATACGACCTGGGGACCTTCAAGAAAAGAGCTTACTCCTTTCTAAAGGGCCGGCAACGCACCTGCAATTCCCCTGGTGTTGCGGTTGATCATGGGCGGCGGTAGTCACTTAACATCAGGTGAGCCGCATGCTCGTTTGCCCCCTCTTCTATAAAAAAAAGTGACCATATTAACCGGATGACCATATTACCCTCACATACTATAGTTATAAGTAATTTGTAGAGGACCTGGAATGATTTTTGAATGAAAGTGTTTGGTGAAATAAATATAAATAAGTATCATAAAATTAACTACTACACTAGAGAAACATGGTTTTACATTACAAAATTTTTTACAGTATATTAATGAATGAAAGTAAGTTCTGTTTTCAATAAAGAAAACTTTTAAGGATGAAAAAGGGAGAGATTTTGCTCTAGTCAGTGGTTGTTTAAAACAACATGTACGGTATAATCTCTAAAAAACCGGCCAAGAGCGTGTCGAGCCACGCTCAGTGTAGGGTTCCGTAGTTTCCCGTCCGTCACAATAAGTGTTCCCACTTATGAGTTTAAACTTGGGTATCCATTATGTTCGCGCTCCAGCAGCGCTCCGCGCTCCAGCAATTGCTCCCGGTAGTGGGTACTGTTGTTTCCATCCAAGTTCAAAATGATTTTTCTAGAAAGTCCTTATAAAGTTCTATTTTTCAGATTTTTTTCATATTTTCTAAACTTATGGTTCAAAAGTTAGAGGAGGGGGACACACATTGTTTTTTACTTTTGGAGCGATTATTTCCGAATTATTGGCATTATCAAAAAATGATTTTAGTAAACCCCTATTCATTTTTAAATACCTTTCCAACTATATATCACACGTTAGGGTTGAAATTAAAAAAAATCACTTCCCACTTTACATATAGGGGGGCTACCCTAATAAAACATTTTTTTCCAATTTTTATTTTACTACTTTGTAGGCGTGATTGATACACATATTGGTACCAAATTTCAGCTTTCTAGTGCTAACGGTCACAGAGATTAAGCGAGGACA